GGGTTTGTTTAGCTTCTATAATTGAAACATTGTTGCTGTCCTGCTCGCTCCAGCTCTGAGGCCCCGCTCCAGCTCTGAGGCAGCTGCCTGCTGAAAGCAGGTATCTGGGTTTGTTTAGCTTCTATAATTGAAACATTGTTGCTTCCGGAGCTCAGAGCTGGGCCACGGCAGGCGGGGAACCTTGGCTTCCTCCATCACTGGAGCAAGCAAGCCTCCTGTTCGCTTCAGCTGCGTGGCTGCCGACCGCCATCTTTGTTGGCAGTTAATTTGCATATCCTGCTGATTAGCCAATGGGAAGCGTAGCAGAGGTATGGTCAATTACCATGTTTGTCTATTATTAGATAGGATTTAAATTGGTCAATGACAGAGAATATCAGATATGAGCTTTATGAGGTGGTCTTTTGTTGTTGGGTATATGTGATACTTAAAATAATATTAATAATGTTGATTTTCATTGAATTGAATGCCTCCTGTGAAACTGGATAATCACAGGCACATAACATACATTGTTGTTAATCCTCTGAGTGACCACAGAAGGATTCAAATGTGTGCATCGGAATAAACTCAGGTGTCATTGCTGGAGTGTTAAGCGCTCAATTACTAAACCAATTATTAAATCACAATCACAATTGTTAAGTCATTTCAAATTAGAACAAAATTACGTCACCAAAATTTAATTAATTTGATTTGTTGTTGTTGTTATTTTTTGAGAACCAGCTCAAAGAGTGAAGAGCAGTTTCCCGTTAGCATCCTTGACATTATGGTTGTATGCAAAACACATGCACGTACAATAAAAGTGACAAATTTTGTACAAGTCTTAGCATTTAATTAAAAATACAAAGCCAAAATGTATATAACTATTAGAAAGATATATGTTGTAATGGGCTTCACTTTTTGAGCTCTGTGAAGATTGATGTTTTATGAAGGTTTTGTTGCTAGGTACCTAAAAATAGACTTTTCTATTCTTCATATTACAATGTCATTGCACTCTGTTAGAGGGTAAGTAGTTAACAAGCCCCCCTTTTTAAATTTATTCTAGGATTCAAGAAGGATTAATAAAACACCACTGCATAGTAATGCAGTTATTACAATGATCTATTTGGGGAAGACTGTGCACTTACGTTATAATTACCCAGAATTCCAGGATGAAATACAAGTTTATCAACAACACTGTGGTGGAGAAAACCTTTGTGTCTACAGAGGCAAACTACTTGAAAAAGGTACACATACAATGTGAATTCTTTTTGAGTACTTGAAGTTAATGTTATAGATAAACTATTGTTGATATCAGAATGACTTCACTTTCTCTATGAAATTATGCATAGTCAGGGACTTATAAAACAGCTGCCTCAAAGTGAATCTGGATTTACTGCTCTGTGATTAAAACTGGAGCAGCAATTACTCTGACAGATTGTGAAAGAAAGAACTTGAAGTTATTTAACCCAGTAACAGATTAATTTGGGGGATAGAGATATATGATCATTAAAATGTTGCACAAATAAACTGTCGCCAAATTACAAGTTAATTATTTGGCTTGCCACAATGAACTACATCATACATTATTCTAAGAGAAAAATACAAGATTGGCAATTTGTTCCTTAGAAGTATGTTGAGATAAAATTACAAACCCAATAAACTTTAGGGGAAATCACACCTAAATAACATGGTGCAGAATTTAGACAAATGCATTTAATACATTTTCACTTTCATTTGATCATAAATCCATGTTTGTTAGTGTAGGGGAGGAAAAAAATTTCTTCTACACTTTTAAGTTCTAGCTGGAATAAGAATTAAATTGATGTGAGCTGGATTAACAGGGGGAAATAACCAAATTCAGTTATGTACGTAGAGGGTGGAGGGGTTTCTAAAAGAATGTGGGGCCCAGAGACAAATTGGGCAATTGAGGCTTATGTGCCTTTCTAAGGAGAAGGGGTTGGAGTCTAGGGCTGCAAAGGGTAGGAAGGCAATTCACATGGAGTTGGAAAAGCAAAGGTTCAGTAAACAAATTAAAAAATGTTTGCTGGGCCATGCAGAGACAAGAGGGAACGGAAGGAACTTTGATCTTGAGGCTCTGCTGAGTCTTCCGACCACACCTAGTTCATATTGTATTACAGTGACCCATGGCGACAGCGCCCTTTCTGGAACAGGCCCTCTACCTGGATTGCTTTAGGCAGGAAGGGAGAAGGTCTAAGGTTCTTCCTGAGTGTTTCCTTTCTTAAAAAAAATCAACTTGAAATAATCAATAACCCGCTCTGGCCAATGTGGTTTGATTGAGCGCCGTCCCATGTATGGAAAAATCGCCAGTTGGATTCCCAGTCAGGGTACATCCCCAGGTAGCCAACCCATGTTTCTCTCTCTCTCCCTCCCTCTCCCTTTCTCTCTCTCTCAAGTCAATAAAAACATATTTTAAAAAATACTTTTAAAATAATCGATATTCCCGGAAGACATATTTTGGTGGCATAGGCTAATTTTTATATTGCATATAGAGTTTCACATATTTGACTGAAGTGGTTTTTGTCTACTTAGTCTGTGGGCCAGCAGTTAAAAGGAAGAGTTGTTACAGGGTTGTGCTACTTGTGATTTCCTTGCTTGAGAGACTCTATAGGAAGTAATGGAGTTTTCACTAATTAAGATAAATATTTATATGTGAGTAATCTTGATACAGACTTAGGGGTTAAGGGAGGAGTTGGAGGCAAGCATGGAGTTGTTACTTTTGGCTTTTCTGTTTTCCCTCATCAAGAAAACAGTGATATGACTTTAAAAAAATTCAAGTACTTAAAGAGAAACTATCCATATTTAGGGATTAAATGTTAAAACTTTCCAACGTAAGAAAGGGCAAACACTTGAATGTTAATTTTAATTTCAAGTAAAATACATTATGTTTTACTTTATAAAAATATTTTTTACTTTATAAAAATATGTATAATTTATAAAAATAATGTTTAATAATGCTGGAAATATTTTACCCCATTTTATATACTTGGCTGAAATATAATTTACTTTTGTCTCATTTTTGTAGCATTTGAGAGTTTCTTCCTTCCATTTTGTAGATGAGGAAAATGAGAGGAGTCCGGAGGTCCAGGCTTCCCAAGGTCACACATGCAGCTGTGGGCAGGGTCAAGAGCAGATGCGGCTCCTGACTAGGTGCAGGACCTTTGATTAGTACCATCTAGCTCCAGTTCGCTATTCTCAGTAGCAAAGAGCTTCCTACATTCTCATCATACAATGGGTATAATGAGAGTGGCATAGATACATGCGCTCATTTTTTAAAAGTGTAACTTTCAACTATTAATTTAGAAGAATTGCTGAAATTAGCTGTGGTCTAAAATTGGAATTAACATAATGAAACTCTTCCTGGGTCTTAGATTACTCTTTATTCAAGAAAATGCATATATAATGTCTGTTTGACTGCTGGAAAGCATGGCACACACAAATGAAAACAAAACAAAACAAAACACAACACAGTAAGACTTAGCTGAATGAATTTCTGGGAGAGGATATGCGCTCTGTGATTAGTGTGCCAAGCCAAAGGTTACTAGGGAGTGTTACCTGGTTACGCGTTATTTTGCATACATACTGGTCCTGGGACCGTCTTTTTGTTGTCATCGGACAGTCTTGAATTATAGGATGCGATGGGGACATAAGTAATTGAATCCCATCCACACAATAATTTTGTCTCAGCTTGTTCTTGATTGCCAGGAAAGTAATTATTCAAAATTGAAAAGTGCCGTGGCTCAGAGTTGACTTGTGGTTCAGCAATCTTAGCAATTTAGCTGAACTGAAAAGAATCTGCCCTTTTTAAAAATCAAAGCTGTGTAAGACTCAATGAAATGTGAATAGGTTTTGAGAAGATTTCTGTTAGGAAAAAAAAAACACATTTAATGTTATGCTTGGAGCAGAAAACTCATTAAAAATGTGGCATTCATTAACTTGTCTCGCTTTTGGATGAGAAATAACAATAAAATTAATTATTTAATAGTGTGGCAAGTGCATCTTTTATTCCCATAGTAGTTCCATGAAGTCTTGCGGTTTGATTTTAGACGTCAAGCCACACATTGATTGTTTATTCTGTACACCGAGGAAGACACTGAACATTTCTACAACTTGTGGAGAATGCAGTTCTTCACAGGCCTTTTGATTTGCCACGTGCATCGTGCATCCTTAAACAAGGCAAACCTTAGCCTCCTGGGTTCATGTGGATACAAAGAACAAAGTAACTGTTTTCTGACCCTCTTATAATCTCTTCCTTTTGGCCCGATTATCTCTCATTTCCAAACCTGATTCTGTTGTAACTATTTGTGCATTCCGAAGTACTCCCCCTGCCCCCCAATTCATTCTCTGGTCTTTTTGTGTGATATTTCCTTTGTCTGCAATAGAACAATGGATTTGAAATTCAAAATAGGATTTTAAATTTAAATCTTCCCCATCTTTTAAGATTCAGAATAAGGCTGTGAAGCTTTCTCAGTTGACTCTGTTATTCATCTCTCTTGATGGCAATGGCTCTTATTCTATACTTAAAACCAAAGCATTTCATTGTACTGAGACTTATATTAATTGTGTTTTTTTATTTCTCTTTTTCCGTTATCATATATTGAGGGGGTTTTTGTTTAAAAAAATAGCTTTAGTGAGTTGTAATTTACATTCTGTAACATTCACTCATCCTAAGTGTACAATTTACTAATACTTGGGAATTTTCTAGCATTGTGCAACCATTATCTATCACAAAGCAGTTTTAGAACATCTCCATCAGTTCTAAAAGCTTCCTTGTGCCCATTGGCAGTTAATTCCCATTTTCATAGCCAGTCCCAGGCAACCTCTGCAGATTTGCCTTTTATGGATATTTCTTATATATGAAATTATACAATAGGCAGTATTTTGTGTCTCGCTTCTTTCACTTAGCATAATGCTTTTGAGAGTCATCCGTTTGTAGCATCTATCAATAGCTTCTCTGATCTTATATCACTGAATACGTAGTTATCTATCTCCAGGTGATGGATATTTGGATTGTTTCCACTTTTAGGACTTTTATAAATCATGCTGTTACAAATATACAAGTTTTTATATAGACATCTGTTTTCATTTCTCTTGAGTAGATCCTAGGAGTGGGTTTGATAGCTTTTACCCCCCTTAGTATGGGTCATACTTTCCTGTTTCTTCACATGTTTTTGGATTTCTTGATGAAAACAGAACATTTTAAATTACGTAGCAGTGGTTCTCAACCTTCTGGCTCTTTAAATACAGTTCCTCATGTTGTGACCCAACATAAAATTATTTTCGTTGCTACTTCATAACTGTAATGTTGCTACTGTTAGGAATCGTAATGTAAATATCTGATATGCAGGATGGTCTTAGGCGACCCCTGTGAAAGGGTCGTTCGACTGCCAAAGGGGTCGCGACCCACAGGTTGAGAACCACTGTATTAGAGCAACTGTGTTTTCTGGATTTTGTATTTCTCTTTTGAAGATTATTGTTCTTGCTGTTTGTTGTTGCTGTTTGTTTAGTAATTTACCTGGACCAATTCTGTGAAATTCATTTTCTCTCTCCTTGGTATACAGCTGGTGAAGTCTCTACTCATAATTTTTTAAATTCTATTTTTCAGTTTTCAGGCTAGTTTCTTAAGGTTGTCTCAGTGTCTTCATAGTTTAGTGATCATCTAGTGATTTATCAAAGGCCGTGTTCAAAACTTTGAGCCAGTGAAGTCTCCACCTTGTGCAAGTAGATGTTTGTAGGTTTATTAGTTTCCTGAACTGGTGTAAAAAATGTCCCCTAAGTTGGTGGCTTAAAACAATAGAAATGTATTCTCTCACAGTTTTGGAGGCCAGAGCCTAAAACCAAGGTGTTAGCAGGTTCGTGTTCCCTCTAAATTTTAGTAAAAGCTCTAGGGGAAAATCCTTCCTTGTCTCTTCTAACTTTTGGTGATTCCTGCAATACTTGGCATGCTTTGGCTTATAGCTTCATCACTCCAATCCCTTCTCTGTCTTCACATGTCATACTTCTCTGTATGTTTTTGTGTGTGGCCTTTCCTCTTCTAATAAGGACATAGGTCATTGGAATGAGGACAAAATTCAGGGTGATCTCATCTTGATCCTTCACTAATTATATCTGCAAAGACCCCAGTTTCCAAATCGACTCACATTCTGAGATCTAGGAGGTCATGAATTTTTCGAGGGCAATGTCCATCCTCCTATAGTGGATTCAAGAGTATAGGCCGGGGGGGTGGGGTGGTAAGAGATCAACCAAGCGGGGGTTGGGGGGGGTGGGGAGAGGTCAATGGGTGAAAAAGGAGACATATGTAATACTATATGTAATATTTTAAACAATAAAGAACTAAAAAACAAAAAAGAATAAAGAGATGTTAGTTGACATTCCAAAACAAAAAAACAAACAAACAAACAAAAAGTACATTCAAAGTTCAGGCAGTTTTCAGGTCTGCTCCTACTCTGATTTTCCACCAGGCTCTCTTGTGTTTCCTTTATTCATGGATACAAACTCCCAGTTGGCTAGGGATGTATGAATAGGTTGAGCCTACTCCAACCCATGCCACTTCCAGCTAGCCGAGGATGTGTATAAAGCTTACTAAATGTGAGGGAGGGGACAATTTCTCCCTTCCCTTCTTTGGTTCTTTGGGCTGGTCAAATAATTAAAATAACATAAGGTAGATTAACAGGATAAAATCTAACACATACATTCAGGAATTCTGCACAGACATAAGAGATTCCAAAGATAGTAAGGCAAGATAAGGTGTATATGTCATTCTGGACTAAGGAGATGGAGGAGACGTCTGGAATTTCAAAGGGAAGTCACAGGTAGATGAAAAGAGTTAATTTTTGGTAGATAAATGTTTGTGGGCCATGCAGAAACAATGGGACAGAGAGAAAACTTTAATCAAATGGGCCTTGTGAGCTTCATCCCTGTCTGTTATATCTAGTTTGTATTAAACTATAGTTATGTATGATGATAGTTTCCTTATTGAGCAGGTCCTCAAAACGTCTTTTAGGCAGTTAGGAGGAATGTGAAAGGTTCTTTCCGAGTCTTTTGTTTCCTGAAAATAATCCCTATGCCACAGAGACACATTTTGGGGTGGCAAATTTTGCTCCCCTACAAATGCATCTATGATTGCCTTTTTACCTATATCCCATGGTTGAATTTCCAGCTAGCCCACTGGCCTGTTGCTTGCCCTAATTAGAACTACAGTTTCAGGCTAGCAAACCCTCTGTCTATGTTAGCTTGCCTCTGAGATTGCTACCTATTAGTGGAAAAGCGACTGGCCAAGGTTATTTTGCCTTCTGTTCCAAATCAAGTGAGCTCCCACTGACATTGAAGCTGCTGGTTATTTATGGCCTGCCCTACCTGTTAGAACTGCAGTGATGAAACAGTGGCAGGTGAGAGGCATGCGAGCAGCCCCAGGCAAGGATGCCTCAGCTCTCCACTCTTCTTACCAAAAGTTCAGTAAGTTTTCACGAATAACTGCTGCTCAGTTTAAGCCTTTGGTACATTTTCAGAGACACCATTTTAAGAGGAGAGGATTTGGTGAGCACATTTCAGAAGTCTGATATATTAATGTTGTCTCTCCTACTAAATTATAATTTCTTGAAGGAGGAGACCACATTTGATGTTTTTTCAGTATTTTTGTTTCTTCTCAGTTCAGTGGTTCTCAACCTTCCTAATGCCTCGACCCTTTAATACAGTTCCTCATGTTGTGGTGACCCCCAATTTCATTGTTACAAATTGAACATAATTAAAGCATAGTGATTAATCACAAAAACAATATGTAATTATATATGTGTTTTCCAATGGTCTTAGGCGACCCCTGTGAAAGGGTCGTTCGACCCCCAAAGGGGTCGCAACCCACAGGTTGAGAACCGCTGCCTTAGTGCCTAAAATAGTGCTACCCATTGTCAGTCAACAATGAATAACCACATTTTATAAATATTACAGAATGCTTTCCAATATTGCACTGTATATAACCTTTAAGATTGCTCTGTGAAGTGGGTAGACTGGGTCGCCCCCTCCACTTCACTCCCTCACCCACTCCTCCTGCCTTCTCCATTTCATAGATGAGGATTCTGAAATGGTCTATCTTCCTTCCACGACTCCAGGTAGAAACCATCAAGTCAGGGCTGGGAAGTGACGCTAAGGTTTAAAATATAAAATTATAATATAAGTAACAAGGGAATAAAGGCAGAGGGTGTCAATTCTTGTTCAGCGTGCTTGGGGAAAAAAGAAAAAAAGGCATGGAATACTAGGTGGATGTGCTCTCCAGTCACACGAGTACCAAGTGGCAGAGGAGTCACATCTGGAAGTTGGTGTCCTGTGCCCATTCTCAGCACTTCCTTGGGTGCACTCTCTTCTTGGGCTGGGCACTGCGGGTGTCATGAGTCACATGAATGCCCCATTCAAGTTTCTGTAATGAAATCTTTCTAGTCACCACTAAGGAGTCCAAAAACCATAAAGACAATTGGATTTTAAAATCTATTGCATCTTAGTTTCTCCTTTCACATCACAAACACTAATGTACAAATGACAAAATTACTTTCTCAATAAGTCAATTCTTTAAAAGCTTTGCAGTTCGACTCTGCTAGATTTATTTATCATCTGATTTATATTTCTTTTTACAGGCATGCTGTGCTATAAATGTAGTATTTTTAGGTGACTGTGAAAGAATTAGGTTAAAATAAGAACTCAATATTTATCGGGGGCCTCGTATGCCATAGTCCTGGGATTGGGGGAAACAAAGATGATTATGACCAATTTCAGCTCTCATGGATTTCATAAACATGCAGGGCAGCAAACCTCTAGGTCGGGGTTCTCAAAGTGTGATCTCTGGACCAACAGCATAAGCCTCACCTGGCAACTTGATAGAAATGCAAATTCTTGAGCCCTACTGAATCAGAAACTGTGAGGTGAGGCCCAGCAATCTGTGTCTTAATAAACTCTCTGGGTGATTCTGATGTATACGGAAGTTTGAGAACTGCTGGTGTAGGCATATTTTAATATATTGCAATAAATGCAACCATAGGAAATGTGTACATAGCAGAGATGCAAAAAAAATCTTAAGTCTATTATTAGTAGAAGTGAAGGGCCTAGGGAGGCTTCTTTTGTAGGAAGTAGAAGTGTCAGGAGTAGCAGGTTTCTGAGCTGCTCTGCAGAATATGGTATCTCAGATGTAGGGCTTAGTAACTTTAGGGTGAGACCTTTTCAAAGAGCCTTATAAAGACTTGGAAACATTAAAACTGATCAATTACAAGCAGTGGCTTTTAATTTATTGGTGGGACTTTTGAGTGGTTCGGGGGGAGCAAAAAGGGGTCTCAAATTCAGATAGAATTGAGAATGGACTGGAGATAGAATAAGTTTGCCTCATATGTATGAATTAGGATGTTTCAAGTCACAACGAAAAATACACTTTTTATTTAAAAGTATTACTGAGTTCACACTAGCCCTTTGTCATGTACTTTTTCACTAGGTAACAGTGAAATAGAGGCATGGGATCTAGAGAGATGTTTAGATTCAAATGCTAACGTTCCCACTTACTGAATGATTTGGGGTAAATTACTGAACTTCTCTGAGCCTTCATGTCTGCATCTAGAAACTAGTGATAATAATATTCCCACCTCATGTGATTGGTGAGAAATAGCACACTCAAGATAATCCGGATAATGCCTGGGCATAGTAAGTGCCATACAGTGATAGGTATTATGATGTTTTTAAAAATCACTTTTATAAAGGCTTGGGGTACTTTTTAATAGATGAAGATAATAGAACGTATTTTTTCATGATAGAAAAGTGTCCCCAAATTAAAAGGTGATCTAGACCATAGCATTGTACGTATCTAATAGAAAAATGTGATTTAGAACATGTTAGTCCAAAATCAGTTGCTTTCACTAATTTCTTTCCTTTTTAATTGCAGAGACCTTTCAGTTTATTTCCAAAAGGCACCATGGTTTCCCCTTCAGTCTCACCTTTTTCCTGAACGGGATGCAGGTGAACAGGCTGAGCTCCTGCTGTGAATATAAGCATCGGAAAGGTTCCAGACTTGGAGGCAAAGGAAGCTACTTTGGGTTCGTGTGTGTGGAGAGATCATCGCCTTGCTACAAGTACGGAGACAGATGTCTTTGGGGAAAGGGCACGTTTTGCTACACTGTCTTATGCTTTTACCGATACATTTCTCTGCACAATTTGTTGAGAAATATATCAGTGCAAACGAGCCTAAAATACCTAAGTTAAAGGTGGTTTAACTGTGTGTTGTACTAGACATTATAGAATATAAATTAGACTTCCAGATGTGTGACGGGGATAAAAGCTGGTGGTGTTTTAAATCCTGCAACCCTCTCTATCTGATCCTTTCCATATCATGCTTTCAGCTGTTTCTGAAGTGAAAGAGAGAGGCTTTTTCTTTTCTTTTTTCCCCCCTTCTTTTTCTCATTCCTCTTAGTAACTGGTTTTGGGCTGAGCCCCAAAGCATGTGCAAGCATCTGGCTTCTATGGTTGATTATTGTAGGTTATGCATTGTAGAGCTGTGACTACATTATCGTGTGGCCCAAATATCATTCTTATGCCCCTCGATTTAATCTCAGAAAATGCATAATAAAAGGTCAGTTTTGATTGTTGTTTATCCATGTTTGTATTGAATATTCTGTTTGAAATTGTGAGACTTGTTTGCAACCTTTCTAGTCTTAGGCCAAGCTTAGAAAGCAGCAGTGAACCAAGCAAAGTACCCCTCCCCCCATGGAGCCCATTCTAATGGGGGAAGGACAAATAACATCCCAATAAATAAATTAATATATACCATATGGCAATAAGTGGTGGTGGTGGGGACAAAGGTCAGGGGGGAGGATTATTTTATATATGACGGTCAGGAAAGGCCTCTCTGAAGGGGCCAGAGAGACAGGGGGGCCAAGTCATTGGAGTCCGAAGATCAAAACAGGGGCTTTGACTTTCATTCTGAGAATGATGTAAAGCTTCAGTGACAAGTTTTGGGCAATGACCTGTCACGATTTGACAGTAGCTCCTATGGCAAAAATAAACTAGGGAGGTTGAGGGAAGGGTGGAAACTACTCAACCCAGAGGAGGATGGTAGAAAGGTAAGTGATTGAGTCCTAAGTGTGTTTTGAAGATAAAGTTTACAGAACTTATTGATGGATTGAATATGGGACATGAGATTAAAGAGCAAAGTCAATGATGATTGAAAAGGTTTTGGCTTGAACAACTGGAAAGATGTCCAGTTCACTATTCTATGTGTGAGGGGGAGGGGGAGAAACACGTTTGAAAGTGGAATGAAGGGGTTTTGGTTTGGGGCAAATTAAGTTTAGGACATTTATTGGTTCCAACAAGATGTCCAAGCTAGAAATATGAATTTGAAAATGGTTTGCATATAAATGACATTTAAATCATAAGGTGAGATGAGATTGCTTAAGAATGGAATGCAAATAGAGAAGATACCTGAGTAATGAGCTCCAGGTCACTCCAGTTCAAAAATGAGAGCAAAAGGCCTAAGAAGGAAAGCCAGTAATAGAAAGGAACTTAGAGAGAGTGATGTCCTAGAAATGAACAAAATATTTGAAAAGAAAGGTATGACCAACAGCCCTGAATGTGTGGATAGATGAAGTAAATGGAGAGTGAGGATTGAGCATGATCTGGTAAAGTGTTGGTTATTGTTGATCTTGGGACAAGTTACAGTGGAGGGTAGGAATGCAAGTTTGATTGGAGTGAGTTTAAGACATAATTGGAAAAGAGCTAAGGCCAGAGAGTATAGAGCAGTGATGGCGAACCTTTTGAGCTCGGCGTGTCAGCATTTTGAAAAACCCTAACTTAACTCTGGTGCCGTGTCACATATAGAAATTTTTTGATATTTGCAACCATAGTAAAACAAAGACTTATATTTTTGATATTTATTTTATATATTTAAATGCCATTTAACAAAGAAAAATCAACCAAAAAAATGAGTTTGTGTGTCACCTCTGACACGCGTGTCATAGGTTCGCCATCACTGGTATAGATACTGCAGACTTCCAGTGAAAATTGAGAACTACCCCTAAGGAGACTGATTCACTTATAATATTGTATAATCTTTGTTTTTTTATTGTCACATTCATAATAATAATTTTAGTTATTTTCAGGGCTGTTCAATTTCTTAAAAATGAAATTAATTTTAGTTCATTTTAAAAGTAATGGTTGCTGGAACTTTTGATAAAATAAAACAGTAGGTAATTTGAATACCAACATTGATTAGGAATTACCTGCGTAAGGTTCGAGGAAACAAGAAAAGCTCAGCAGTGGATACTTACAAAGTGTGGAGTTTAAACAGTTGTATTTATCCCACAATCGTGGGAACTGTTCAAAAAGACGTGATAGTTATTTTCAGTTATTAGAGCAAAACACAGGAAGAAGGATTGCCTAACCAAATAGAATGCAGACAGCTTTGAGTTTAGTAATCAACACCTCAAATTATACTCAGAAGTCAACTAGGTAGTCAGTGACGAGGAAAGCACAGATGTTACTCACTTTGTTTGTCCAATCCCCTTAAGCAGATGGGCAATAAAAAGTCTGTGCATGCAGTAGGGAGGCAAAAAAGAGTCACAACATAAACTTAAAGTAATAGCATAGCAGAGGCTCCAAATCAATGGATTTGGTGTTGCCGTGGATAAGGGAAGAACAGCTTGGACAGAAGGCAATGCAGGTAATCATATTCTGTGAAGATTCATGACACCTTTATTTTAAGGAAAGTAATGTGCTAAGTACATCATCATTGAAGTCAAGTATTTATCATGCTTAATATGGGTGAGGTAAGTGTATTCTTATCTCATTTTTTTTACAGCCTGATAGTTATTTTGAGTGCAGAGCCTTTTAGTTTTATTTTATGGGGAGATATTCAAAAGATGAGTAACATAACTAAGTTTCCATATTTGCTTGTTGGGAGAATTAATTCTTATGCTATTCCTAGACTGGAGATGGCTGAAATTCAGTGAATCTTGAGTTTAAGAAATTGTCATTGGATTTGATTCACCTTGAGGCAATTTTCAAATTTTACATATTATTTCTAGTCTTCCTGGACTGACAAGTCTTGACTGCATTCTGATCTTTTTTTACCTGCTCACTCTATTTGATTCAGTTCCCTGATAGCCATGTAACCTGTAGATAAAGGGACGTGTGTATTTCTAGAGAAGGACTGATAAGTGCCAACTGACAAGTCTTGACTGCATTCTGATCTTTTTTTACCTACTCACTCTATTTGATTCAGTTCCCTGATAGGCATGTAACCTGTAGATAAAGGGAACGTGTGTATTTCTAGAGAAGGACTGATAAGTGCCAGCCCCCTTTCCCAGGTCACGGATTGTCTTTAGAGTTTGGTGAAAACTTCTCCAGATTCTGCTAATTTCTGGTGGGGAGTGTGAATTCCCTGGTGGTAAACCCAGCAGCGTAATATTTGTCTGTGTAGCTAGTCATCTGCGAGGACTATACCTGTAACCTAGCGATATTTTTGTACTTCAGTGTGAGGTCATGGGGTTTAACAGTCCTGAGCTGGAATCCAGCTCCATCACTCACCTGCAGGGTGAGCTTGGGCATTTCATGGAACCCTTGAAGCCTCAAATTCCTCATTGAAAAGTAGTGATGATAGTTCCCGATTTATTGGTCTGTGGTGTAACAAACCTGGTAAAATAATGCATATATAGGGCACATAGCAAAGAGCTTGGCACAGAGGGAGTGCTCTGTAATATTATTATGATAACCATCATGTTATTAATGTATATGTTATTATTATTAGAATTTTTATTTTGACATTAACTTGAGAGATAGAAAAAAAGCTATGGAAGACTTTATTCATGTGACTTGTTGTAACTGATTTAAAAATTATTTTTAATATCTTAATGCATGCAGATTACCTGCTTGGTTCACCAGATTTGACTTTGAATGACTTTATGACCTCTACAAACTATTGCCATCTTTAAAGAACAAAGCTTATATCCAGTAAAAGTCACCAAGGATTATGGTTCAGGTTTCAAAAAGCAATTTTAAATGCAATAATGACATTTCTATTAAAATAAGCAGGAAGGTTCCTGAGATGTTTATTTAAAGGGCACAGCAACATGTGACTGTATGTTTCTTAAAAAAATCAATCATATTTATTCAGAGTCAACCTGGTATGTAAGTCTTTTGTTGTTGTGTTATTCGAATAATAAATTATCGTGGACTGAATGGCATCTTTCTTTTTCTGAATATTTTTTATCTCAGCTTTCCTGTGCTTGCAAACCTGGATGTTCTTTTATCACATAAGTATCATATAAGGACTTGAATTATATACCATATGACTCTGTTATAAGACCAAAATATGTTTTAAGGCACTAATTTTAGTTTAGGACTAAAGTTCTTTTGTTGTTTTCTTGTTTATTATTGTGGGTAAAGTTATTAAGAATTTTTTGTGTTTTTATGAGATTTTAATATTAATAAAAAGAAAAGAATTTACTTTAGTTAACTACTGGTATGTACCTTGATAAAAAATTTCTTATAACATTTCTTATAAGAATAAGAGGTACGTGATTTAAAAGCTTTGCAGTTCCACTCTGCTATGCATAAAAGTTAATAAACATCCTATGTTAATATTTTCATAGGTGCATTATTGCAATGGGCCTTGACAAAAAACCAACTTCGCCAAAACCTAGGAAACAAAAAAGTCTTGAGAAAAGAGAGGAACCAAAGGGCGAGGGGAAACTGAGGAAGGATAGAGCATACATGGTCCCAAGAAGGAATGAGATGGAGGGGAGCAAAACCTCTTCAGTCTTTTTTTCAGCCGACGAAGAAAAAACAGGGGTTGAAGATGTAAGAACTGCTGTAGAAGAAATGGAACGTAAAGGAAAACAACATGTTTGGGAAGATGACCAGGAAAATATATTTAAATACGGTAAGATAACAGGTGACACAGGGTTCTGTTGTTGTTACTGAGGTTGTTCTTTTGCTTAAGTCTTTAAAATGTGATTATCGAAATTTGCAAAATTATTTATTAAATGTTGTCACTGTTCTGGCATTTAGGTGATCCTATTACACGTGAGGACTCCCTGACCACCTTCCTCCACTGTTTTGCGTGGAGCTCGTGTCACCTACCTTAGAGGAGGGCAGGCCGAACTCTGCAGGGCCTGAAGTTGCTTGAGGAAGAGAGGAGAGGAAGGGGAGTTTAGGGCTGCTGCGTACATGAACTAGAGGCTAGGGGGCTATTCACTTCTGTAGAGAGAGACATTCTAACCAAACAGAATTTTGCCTATTTGTTTTTTAGTATTTGGGTGTTTTTTTTGTTAATCCTTACCCGAGGATATTTTTCCATTGATTATTTTTAGAGACAGGTGAAAGGGAAAAAGGCGCAAAGGAAGGGAGGGGGAGAGAGAGACAGA